TGACCTGTGGTGGCATCTGTGGAGATGGGGCCGAGGCGTTTGCGGCCAGTGAGTCCGTAAAGGTTGAACTTGTATCTGCGGGAAGGAACCAGATTGGGGACGATGGTCTCGCGGAAGGCTCCCTCCACTGGGATTGCTTGAGGTTTGCCTTCAGCGTCCTTGTACTGGATCAGAAAAGAGTCAAAGTTCCCCGTGGGGACAGTCCAGGAGAGACGGACAGAATTGCTGGTGGCATCAGAAGCAGAGAGCTCCCCCAGGCTGGGAGCAATTGAGGGATCCTTTGGAGGTGATGCTGGGGAAACAGATAGTAGTAGAGAGAGAAATCATTTGATCTACCAGGGTGGTTCTCAGGAACATAAGAATCTAGCTTATACTGAGTTGGACTATTGGTCCATCTATTTCAGTAGTATCCAGACTGCCTGCTAGCAGCTCTCCAGGGTATCAGGCAAGAAATCTCTCTCAGCCCTATCTGGAGGTGTTGGAGACTGAATCTGGGACCTTCAGCATACACAGCAGGAGATATACCTCTAAGCTATACCAATGGCCATGTATTATGGCTGGCAAAAGGTCTTTAGAACCTCCCCTTGCTGACCTGTGACTGTGTCAGTAGAAACTGGACCCAGACGCTTGCGACCAGAGACTCCGTAAAGGTTAAACTTGTATCTTCGGGAAGGTACAAGGCTAGGACGCCATGCGTGTACCATCCACGCGGGAACCTCCATCCACTGGAAGGGGCCTGAGGTTTCCCCTCCGCATCCTTGTACTGGACCAGGAAGGAGTCGAAGCTCCATGGGACAGTCCAGGAGAGACGGAACAGAGTCGGTGGTGACGTCCGAGACTGAGAGCTCTCCCAAGCTGGGCTGAGGGAGCAGGTGTTGTTGGTAGTGGGGCTGCGAAACAGAGGAGAAGAGATGAGAACGTACATCTTGACGGATGTGGGAAGGAAGAAATGAGACAGAGGCAGAAGGCCCTCCTTATGAGCTCTGTGACAGCTGGCTGACCTAGAGATGGGTGTTTCATCTCCAGGGCATGCGTAAACCACGTGACATCTGTCAAATTTAATTAAAAGGCCCTTGAGAGAAGCATCAAAAACAATGATAATAGCTGAAAGAACAAAATTTTAAAAAGTTTTAGCTACATTGACTTCCACATCTACCAACCCATGCAGATATCCTCCAAAGCATCCCGAGATCTATAGCTTTCTTGGAGGTACTGTGATTTCCATTCTAAAGATCCCCTACACCTTCACAGAACCACAGCTCCCATGGCTCCTTAGGAATATTGCAATTCCCATGGCTCCTTAATAGAACCACAGTTCCCATGTCTCCTTAGTAGCACTGCAATTTGCATGGCTCATTAGCAGAACGACAGTTCCTGTGTTTCCTTAGAAACGGCTGTGAAATAAGCTTGCTGCTCGTTTAATTTCATCATGGGCAGACATGCACTGTGGGAAAAATCGCAGAACGAATCCTCTGCTCTCGTAGCATCACAGAACGAGATGGCGTTCCAAAAGTTTTAGGATTCAGATTGTGGATCCATCATTTTCTGATCTTGCCATCCAAAAAGGAGAAAGAGGACGAATGCTCTGCCAGTTAGAAAAGGCATATACAGTGGTACCCTTGGGTTAGAACTTAATTTCGTTCCGGAGGTCCGTTCTTAACCTGAAACTGTTCTTAACCTGAAGCACCGCTTTAGCTAATGGGGCCTCCCGCTGCCACCGGAGCATGATTTCTGTTCTCATCCTGAAGCAAAGTTCTTAACCTGAAGCACTATTTCTGGGTTAGTGGAGTCTGTAACCTGAAAGCGCATGTAACCTGAAGCGTATGTAACCCGAGGTACCACTGTACGTGTACTGAATGCTTGTGCTAACCCTGTGGTGGCATCAGCTGAGACAGGTCCAAGACGCTGGGGGCCCAGAGATTCCATAGAGGAAGAATCTGTATCTTTGGGAAGGAACCAAATTAGGAACAATGGCCTCGCGGGAATGTTGGTCTAACGGTCAGGGCTTGGTCATTGCCCTCGGGGTCCTTGTACTGGAGAAAGAAGGAGTCAAAGCTGCCAGTGGGGACACTCCATGTGAGACGGACAGAGTTGCTGGTGGCATCCGAGAGTAAGAGGTCACCAAGGACAGGTTCCGGCTCAGGCTCAGGTACAGGCTCTTCGTCCCGTGATGCTGTTATGGGGAAGCAAGACGAAATATAATAATATAATAAAAGGCAGCAGAAGAACTTCCTGACAGTAAGAGCTGTTTGACAGTGGAATTTGCTGCCAAGGAGTGTGGTGGAGTCTCCTACTTTGGAGGTCTTTAAGCAGAGGCTTGACAACCATATGTCAGGAGTGCTCTGATGGTGTTTCCTGCTTGGCAGGGGGTTGGACTCAATGGCCCTTGTGGTCTCTTCCAACTCTATGATTCTATGATTCTAAGCAGCCCTCAATAGGCCTAGTGACCCACACATAATGTTTCTAAGCCTGCGCTCTCATTCCTGCTTTCCTGGTCATGGATGGAAAAGCAGCTGAATATGTAGGACTGCGCTATAATATGCACCTTGAATGTCAGCCCTTGTTCTGGGTGTTTATTTTCGTTTCGCCTGTTGAAAAGGCCACAGGAGTGCTTATGTGGACAGGTGGCACCCATCCTTTCATATAATCCAAGGTCATTGGTTTTTAAAAGAGCACTTTCAGCACACAAAACTTATGCAGGGCTTCGGAGAAGGTGAAAGCATGTTACAGCACAATCCTAAATGAGCCTTACTCAGAATTCAAAGGGGCTTACGCCCAGATAAGTGGGGTAACAGCCACACTTGTCCTCTCATTGTCTAGATGCAAAGACAGATTGAATTCTGTGTACAGTTGCGTCCTGGGGGAAGCAAAAAATGAAACACTACACCCTGGAAAAAGAAATGGGTTAGAGTGGGGGAAAGACGCCACTTCCTGCAAACACAATACTATAGTTCATGACAGGCCTTCTGCTGACCTGTGGTGACATCTGCCGTGGCTGGGCCGAGACGTTTGCGACCGGAGATGCCGTAGAGATTGAACCTGTATTTGCGGGAAGGAGCCAGGCTAGGGATGGTGACTTCGCGGGAGTCCCCCTCCATGGGCAGCACTTGGGGTCTGCCCTCAGCATCCTTGTACTGGACCAGGAAGGAATCAAATCTCCCAGAGGGGACACTCCAGGAGAGGCGGACAGAACTGCTGGTGATCTCTGAGGCGGAGAGTTCTCCCAGGCCGGGTGGAGCTGTCACTTCTCTCTCTGGCTTCTTTTCTGGGGCTGGGACTTTGCCTAGAGAGCAAAGAAGCAAAGAATTTTATTTTTTTTAAAGGGAGTGCTGGGACTGAGCTAAGGATGGATCTTCCAGTGTCAATTTTTCTGAGTTTCTCGTTTTTCCAGGTTTCAGTTCAGTTCTCCATATTTCCACATCAACTTGCAAAAAAATAATAATCAGCATTTTTGTGCATTTCCCTCCTAATATTCACATTGTTGCATGCAATTTCGCACAAGACATACATCAGAGACATTTTGGTAACAATAGACTAACAAGTCTAATAAATTATTATTATTATTATTACTATTATTATTATTACTTTTAAAGCAATCTCCTCAAAGTGATTGCCATATAAGAAAATTAAAAACAGTTAAATACACAAATACAGCAAATAAATTTAAAACAAGACAAAAACCCTAACAGTGGTATGGACCAGGCATGTCCAACAGCTAGATCGTGGTCTACCGGTAGATCACTGGACGTCTGCGGTAGATCACTGGTAGATCACTGGCTCCCCCCAAAGAAGCTGAACAACTGTGGCCCCCTAAAAAAAAGCTCAACATTTTACCACCTCCTTGAAAAGACTCAACAACTTTGACCCGAACCCCAAAAAAGGGGGCAGATCACTGCCAGTTTTTAACTCTGTGAGTACATCACAGTCCCTTGAGAGTTGGCCACCCCTGGTACAGACCATTTGTCCATCTAGGAAAGGCTGTCGGAACAAAGATGTCTTCAGTTGTTTATGGAAAGTGTTGATGGGGCAACTTTCATATCTCAACAGTAATGCTATTCCACTGAAAAAGGGCAGCTGCACTAGAAGCCCTGCTCTGAGTTACTGAGTTCTTGTTGTGATAAATTGCAAGCAATATCCCCTTGAATCATAGAATTATAGAGTTGGAGGGGACCACTAGGAACATCTAGCCCAACCCCCTGCAATGCAGAAATCTTTTGCCCAACATGGGGCTCAGACCCACGACCCTGAGATTAAGCGTCTTGTGGTCTACCAACTGAGCTATCCCACAGGGCTAAATCAATGCACTTTATATGTTATTCCCATCTTTGTTCACACTTGGCCTAGTATACAATTTTTTTTGGACACATGATTTGGAGAACCGCCTCACAAAATTCAGAGAAGTGCATATTTTGAAAGATAGTTGTGCTTCAGTTTGTATATATAAGTCAGAATTAGTTGCGTAAAATGTGATGTGAACCATATTTCTCTCTCTCCCCCCCCCCATCCATGTTCTGAGCTGTGCTATTTTTTATAATGGTTTATACATTATGTATTTGTGGATATTTATTTTGTGTGTTAACAGAAGTGTAGTAAATAAGACCAAAAGGAGGATGAGCAGAGCTATGCTGAAAGATAACCAGTGCAGTAAAGTTTGACTGGGCGGGACTAGGAAGAACTGGGCCAGAGCTGTAGAGAAATAGTGATTAAAGCAAAATTTTGTGAAGTTGGCCGACTTATTCCAGAAGAAGCAACTCTGGGAAATGGTATACGATAGGAACATTATCTTATCTCCTCAGCAAATTTTCCTTATGCTTGGCAGAAAAATCCAATTATATAAGAAAGCAGAACCTCATACCCCAAACCCCATCCTTTCACATGAATCAGACCCTCCAAGTGTCCCTATTTTCCAGGGACAGTCCAGGAGCTACAAAAGCTGTCCTGGTTTCTGATTTGATTCCGGAATGTCCCGCTTTCTCTTAGGATGTCCCTATTTTCATCAGAATAACGTTGGAGGGTATGGTAGGATGACCCTATTTTCATTGGAAATGTTGGAGGGTATGGAGCTATCCGACCCCCGAGCCATCTGAAGGCAGCTCTCCATACAGCAGTTTGTTTAATATTTAATTATATTTTTATATATGTTGGAAGCTGCCTGGTGTGACTGGGGCAACCCAGTGAGATGGGCGGGGTATAAATAGTAAAATTGTTGTTGTGGAATAAAGTAAAGGTAAAGGGACCCCTGACCATTAGGTCCAGTCGTGGACGACTCTGGGGTTGTGGCATTCATCTCGTTTCATTGGCCGAGGGAGCCGGTGTACAGCTTCTGGGTCATGTGGCCAGCATGACTAAGCCACTTCTGGCGAACCAGAGCAACGCACAGAAACGCCGTTTACCTTCCTGCCAGAGCGGTACCTATTTATCTACTTGCACTTTGACGTGCTTTCGAACTGCTAAGTTGGCAGGATGTTATGGAATAGGACACCCCTATTTTCATCGGGATAATGTTGGAGGGCATGATGAATTTTGTGAGGAGGAAACTGTCTTTAGAGTTTGGATATAAACAGAAAGTTGGAGAGCTGAGCTCAGATGATGATGATGATGATGATGATGAAAATTTATTATTTATATGCCGCTCATCCGACTGGATTGCCCCAGCCACTTTGGGTGGCTTCCAACAAATTAAAAAATATTAAGCACAGTAAAAAACCAAACATTAAAAACTTCCCTATACAGGGCTGCCTTCAGATGTCTTCTAAAAGTCAGATAGTATTTCCTTGATATCTGACACTCCCAGGGCCACAAGTGTTGGATTCAGACCACAGGCCTGGCCTGAAAGGGGTTTCTGTTGCCTCAGTGTAATAACTTTGAGTCATAAAAATTCCATTCCTGCCTTTTGGTCAGAGCTTCTTCACAGATACAGCTGTATTCTGCTGCCCACACCCTTGGGCCTAGAAGAGGTACTTTGTCCTCAGCTTACTTTTTCTTTGGCCAAACCATTTTGCCAACTCATCAGCGCCATGTTTACTTGGGAGTAAATCCCACGGAACTCAGTAGGGCTTACTATAGATTAGGCATACATGGGACATGGACAATTTCTCTCTGATTCCTCCCTCCTCCTGGATAATTTTTTCTTTTAAAAGCAACACCATGATGGGCCTGCTTTCAAGTAAAACATCTCTGGGCTTTTACAAGACATTTCTATCTGGAAAAGGAAACAAAGAAATCTAAATGCAACTAAAGTCTCCCTGTGCATTTCAGGTTCAAAACCAGGACTGACTGGAACCGCACAGTTTGACTTTATGTTTTTAACATCCCTGGCTTCTATCACTGTTTTTTGGGGGGAGGTGTATGATTAACACAGCACCTATTGACTAAAATAAGCTGTTGAGGGAAATGATCCGCCCACCCTGTAAAAATGTGTACTGGTTCTATAAGACTGAGCGGCAACAGAGGGAGCCATTTTGATGGTGGCAGCCATTTTGAATTTCTTGAAATCCGGTAAGCACTCCAGAGCAGGGAATGAAATGGAAATGAAATGGCATTTTCTCTCTCTCAACGGTTGGATATTCAAGGAGGAAGTGCTTCCTTCCACAGGACAGAGTTAAACAGTGGCATTTGCTACCACAGGGTGTAGCAGTGGGTGCCAACCTGGACGGCTTTAAAGAGGGGATTAGACAGATTCATGGAAAACAAAAATATCAGGACCTATTTGTCATATTGGCTATATGCTGTCTCTAAAATCGAAAGTGGTACATCTCTGAATGCATCGGTGCCAACCCCCTGGGGCCCGGGTGCCCGAGCACCCACAAAATTCCCCATGAATTTGGCTGGGCACCCACAAATTTCAGTGCCAGGGCCATGCATGCTGCATAGCACCCATGGCCTGATCCAGCAGAGAGGCTCTTACATTCTTAATCCTGTGCTCTGTACCACATATTGGGTGTCTGTGTTTCTGCAGAATTACAGACCTGGATAAAGTTAGGAAGGCCTGGAAATTACATGAGCATTTCAGAAGCAGCAGAGATTCCAGCAGATTAGGCTGCCTTGAATTAACGTTTGCACGTTTTACAAATCTGAGACAGGATTCAGGCTCCGAATATTACTTCTGAAAATTTAGAAAAGTTCACGCTTTCTTTTTTTGACTTCTGACCATGAAGATCGGTTTATAAAACTGAAGCATTGTCGATTACTTTGTAGATAATAATATGCCAATTCAAATGCACTTTTAAAAGAAAGGAAAACAGATGGATCCAACGGTCTGCCATAACTGGGAGCGTTGGAATACGTAATTTGTGGGGGAGAGAAATTTCAGCGCAACAATTTACCGTATTTTTCGCTCTATAACACGCACCTGACCATAACACGCACATCGTTTTTAGAGGAGGAAAACAAGGGAAAAAATATTCTGAATGAAACAGTGGACGTATCATTTTTGTGCTTCATGCTGTGGCCACAGACATGTGATCTGATGGTGAATTTGGGGTGACCCAATGCAAAAATCCTGAGAATCCCTGTGGATCCATGCTTTGTAACCACGTTTTTGCACCATTGCAGCCCCAGGCAACAGTGGGTGCGTGATTTTTTTTTTGGGGGGGGACAGGCTGTAGCCATGGACATGCTATGTGCTCTGATGGTGAATTTTGGCTGACCCAATGCAAAGATCCTGAGGATCCATGTGGATCCATGCTTTGTAACCACGTTTTTGCACCATTGCAGCCCCAGGCAACAGTGGGTGCGTGATTTTTTTTGGGGGGGGGGACAGGCTGTAGCCATGGACATGCTATGTGCTCTGATGGTGAATTTTGGCTGACCCAATGCAAAGATCCTGAGGATCCATGTGGATCCATGCTTTGTAACCACGTTTTTGCACCATTGCAGCCCCAGGCAACAATGGGTGTGTGATTTTTGGGGGGCAGGCTGTAGCCATGGACATGCTGTGTGCTCTGATGGTGAATTTGGGGTGACCCAATGCAAAGATCCTGAGGATCCATGTGGATCCATGCTTTGTAACCACATTTTAAGTGGGGAGGGAAGGAAAAACACAGAAGGCTAAGAATGCAGGAGAGGGCTATAATGTGAGGAAAGGAAGGCAAAAGTTCCCCCCCCCCAACCCACCCAAGCCAGCCAGCGTGCTCTCTCTCTCTCTCTCTCTCTCTCTCTCTCTCTCCCTCCCACCAGCATGACAGAAGAAAGCATTTTAACTGCATTAAGAACTATTTAGCAGCGAAACCTAAGCTTTGCCATCCCTTAAGAGGTACAGACACTGTAATCTTCCAGATCGCATGAATTTACAGGCAAAACACTGTTTAAGGATTTCATCCTTTTAAATGGAAGAAAGCATATTTGAATGCTGTGTGTCTCCAAAAACAAAAAGCAGGAAGTCAAATCAGAATTTTAAGCCGAACCTGTAATCTCTCTTCCCTTTACAAACATTGTTCCCTCCGGAGCAGGGACAGGATAGAGCGACGCTCTGCTCTCCTCTCTACTTGCCTGGAGGGGAGGGGCTTTCCCTGCTCTTTGTTCGGACGCTCTGCTTTCCTCTCTACTTGCCTGGAGGGGAGGGGCTTTCCCTGCTCTTTGTTCCGTTTGAGCAAACACAGCAACGAAACAGAGCAGGGTGGGCAGTAAGACCCTGAGGCAGAATGCAGGAAAGCAGCCGCTTCCTCTCTCACGGAGCTCCCTTCTCCCTGAAGCGCGGTTTGATTTTTGCCTCATTTTTCGGCTCCAGGGACACACATTCGCTCCATAACACGCACAGACATTTCCCCTTCCTTTTTAGGAGCAAAAATCTGCGTGTTATAGAGCGAAAAATACGGTATAATGTACTCATCATCAATCTGATGCAACAAAATTGGCAAGGCATGGCTATAATTGTTGGAAAATCTGTCTCATTTGTTTATGTGCAGAAATAACATTGCCCCTGGTGAGTATCGGGGTTTGACTTTTCTTTTTTTAAAAAGGTATATAAGCAAATGGGACCTGCAATGAAATGTGGTGTGGAGTGTCCCGGCATGGATTATTCTGGAAGGGGCATGGTTAGCTGGTCAGCCAGCCAGCCAGCCAGCCATCTACTCCCCTTCTGGAATAATCCATTCCCTTCCCCTTCCTACACAGTTTTCTATTTAACCCCTACCCAATAGTTAGCACTCCATGGACTGTAACTAAATTCTACTCAGAGTAGACTCACTGAAATCAATAAACCTAGATTTGTTCCTTAACTTCAGTGGTTCAACTCTGAGTATAATTAGCATTAGCTACAGCCAAAACTGTTCTCGTTGGGCTGTTTTGGAGTTCCTCCATATGTCCCCCCCCCACTACTTTTTGTGGGGTTACTTCTGCAAACCTTGCCATGTCCCTCTTTTGCATGGACGGCACTGTTTTGGCTGCAAAAGCAACGACACTAATACCTGAAGGGAAGGGTTTATTTAATTTATAAATTTATAAATTTCACACCCTGGTGTTACCCCTGAAGGAGTCCGGGATAGTGATGGTGACTTATTTTTGCAAGCCAATTTGAGTTAGGATTTGCTCGGCATCCTCCCACCCCAAACTCATTTCACCTCTAAAAATCAAGAAGCATGCCAACCAACATTCTGGAGAGACATCACTCACCTGTAACCATCTCTGTGGAAACAGGGCCATGTCTCTTGCGGCCTACGAGTCCATAAAGGCTGAACTTATACTTCCGGGAAGGCACTAGGTCATAGATGGTGACTTCCTGGGATCCTCCATCCACAGGCAGACTCTTCGGCTTGCCCTCAGCATCTTTATACTGGATCAAAAAGGAGTCAAAGGTCCCCGTGGGGACGTCCCAGGACAGGCGGGCAGAGTTCTCTTTGACGTCCGAGACGGAGAGGTGCCCCAAAGTGGGCTTCTCCAGGGCTGGTGCCGGGGCTGAAAAACGAACAAGAGGAGGAGAGGATGACGGCTGCCGAACTCTTAAGAAGGAAAGAAGTAAGCGGATTGGAGAAAATATAATTATCCTGATTCCCAAGTATTTTTATTTAATTTTACCAAGCCTACCCAGAAGAAGTCTATTTTATTTCTGCAGTTTTTAATTCTTGCTGGTTTTAATACTGTTTCGTGATCCGTGTTCTATCTTACGCAACCAAGTCTAGTGCCACCTAATGACCAAACTGTATAATGGCACTATCCATGAGCCCAGCCAAGAGCAACTTAGCTACAATCCAGTTCCTCCTCTGGACTGAAGAAGTTTATTTCACGGTAGGTTTTCGGTTGCATTCATTAATTCATTGATTTCCAGATTTCTACACCACTATATTTTCAAAAAAACTACCCAAGCGGTGTCTATAGGAGCCAGTGATGGCTGCCAGCTTGAATGGCTTTAAAAGAGGATCAGACAAATTCATGGAGGACAAAGCAATAATAATAATAATAATAATAATGTATAGCTGTCAACTTTTCTATTTTCTTGCGAGGAGTCCTATTTGGAATAAGGGAATTTCCCTTAAAAAAAGGGAAACGTTGACAGCTATGCAATAATGATAATAATGATAATAATGATAATTATTATTATTTATACGCTGCCCATCTGGCTGGGTTTCCCCAGCCACTCTGGGAAGCTATCAACCTCTATCAACAGCTGTTAGCCATGATGACTATGCTCTGCCTCTCTTTGCTTCTGAATGCCAGTTACTGGAAATCGAAGGTAGGCAGAGTGCTGTTGTGCTCATATCTCACTTGCAGGCTTCCCACAGGCATCCGGTTGGCCACTATGAGAAGAGGATGGATGCTGGACTTGATGGGCCTTTGGTCTGATTCAGCAGGCTCATCTTATGTTCTTCAGTACACAGATAAAGAGTGTACAACACAGATCATAACACAGCACCGAAGCATTAATAATGAGAACTGAAAACTGTAGAAATAAAACAGATCAAGGCTGCATGGAAACAAGGGAGAAACGTGCTAAGAGGAAGGGACGCTTGGCAAATCCACACCGTGATCAACTCCCGCCCAGGAACCAATATCCCCACTGTGGAAGGACGTGTGGATCCAGAATTGGCCTCCACAGTCACTTACGGACTCATTGTTAAAACCGTGTTTAGGGAAGACAATCTTACTCGGCTACGAGTGATCGCCGAAGAAGAAGGAGAAGAAGAAGAATAAATATTGAAAGCACACCATGTCCCCCCAAGACGCCTGGGAAATGTATAAGGCTGTTGGGAATTATAGCTCTGTGAGGGGTGTACTATAGTTCCCAGAATACTGGGGGTGTGGAGATGTGCTTTAAACGTAGGGTGTGTGCACAGCCTAATTTGGGAAGGAGTTGGGAGGAAAGGGAGGTTAGCAATATAACACTGAAAGAACACGGGCACGTTGGGGCTTGATTCTCTTTGATGGGAAGAGGATTCCAGGAAACTGGTGCTGCAATGCTAAAAGCAGGTGCTCAAGTCACAGCACACCACTGCAAGGGTGTGTGTGGCACCATCCTTCATCACACGCAAGTGATCCCAGGGCAGTTTCCATCATATTAAAAAAATACAAAACCAAAATACAGTATATGAAACATAACTAATGACTGCAGCAGTATAGAGGCTAATCAACATGGCAACTCTTGCTAGGTAACCCTCTAGAATGGTTGTGGGGACCACCTTCCCTTACACCTTAGGATTCAGTGTTGCCCGACCCCCATGCCATACCCAGAAAGCAGCTCATGATAAATAACCGCCAACATCTCAGAATCCTGCAAAATGGAATGGGGGGGGGATGGTGTTTATCACACCAGAACGGAGAAGCGGGCTGCTGAACGCCAAAATATGTGTCTGGAAGAAATATGGGAGTTAGTGGGTTAGAAAACTTCCTGGTTTGTGTCAGAAATATTATAAGAGGTGTTATGAAGTCGTCTTTGTGCAGGTTCTGAAACAAAGTAAAGGAGGCCTAGAGAAAAGAAAGGTGATCAAATATAGCTGGGTAAATGAGGGTTGTGGCTCATGCCTAGACCATCTCTTCTAAATGGAGAAGGTCCTTGGTTCGCTCCCTTGCATGGCTGGGATTGCCCACTGAAACCCTGGCCAGCTCTTGCAAGTCAGTGTAGGCAATACTGAGCCAGATAGAGCCATGATCTGTCTCTGCATATGGCAGCATCCTCAATTTGGGGAGCCCAGAGCGATGTACCTGTGGATGTCTTTGTAGTTAGAGGAGGAATGTAGCTCCCATCAGGTTTCTCCCCACTTAACTCCACTTCGTACTCCGTTCTGGGGGTCAAACCCATCACGGTGACGCTTCTCTCTGTCCCCGGTACTCTGATTTCCCCTGGTGGGGCACTGGATTTGGGGTCCCTGTACTGAAGGGAAAAGCTGCGGAAGGAACTGGGTGGGGCCGACCAAGTCACACGGAGACTGTCCGGAGAGACATCCGTCACAGTCAGGTCCCGCAGTGGCACTTCAGGGCTTTTTGTGGTGAGTCTAGGGAAAGTTTGGGTCTTGGCAGCTGAAGGAGATCCTGGAGCTGAAGAAAGAGAGATGTTGGGTGAGAAAATTGCAACCTCTTCTCCTCCTCCCTGGCTTTACTCCAACTAGCATACCTCCCCATTCCCTGGGCATGGAATAAGGAGTGAAAGGCATATTGACTACTGTAGTGTACTCAATGGCAGTGGGCTGCCCTTGAAGGCTATGTGATGGCTTTAGCTAGTAAAGAATGTGGCAGTCCATATACTTAGGGCATGAGTCACTGATAGCACATCTCAAGAGGGCTCCAAGCCCTGTGCTATTTATTTATTTTATTTAACAAAATGTATATACCGCTTTAGGTTTTTTTGTAGGGCTGTGCGTTTTTTGTTTTCTTTTTTTGCAATGAGTGAGAGTATTTACACTATACTCACCCTCCACTTTCACCCTAGACCTAATTTGCCAAGAAAATTTGAATGGGGATACATTTTATTAAGAATTACATGCCCAAACATAACTTTGTTTTAATTCTAATCAAGAATGTTGATTTTAGGGGAGAGCAGGGGCCAGTTCAGTGGGGAAGTATGCTAGCCAAACCTGTATCAGAGCTGACCCTGTCAAGAAGAGGGGGTGAGAAAAGGGTTGTATCCCACAAAATCATCCCTTTAGCACAAGGACTTCCATCTGTGCAATGGGACTCCCTGTCCCTCCCCAATGGGGGCAAATGAGGCAAATAAGTCCCATTACATGGGCAGAAGTCGTTGTGGTACTGGATAGAACCACAATCATTCCCTCTATGGCCTCTTCACCCAGTCAGAGAGAGCACCTGCTTGAAAAAGACACACATGCACACCCCACTCAAATATCCCAGTTAATTTCAAGGTGAGCACATAGAGATGCTGAGCAGTGGATGGTGGGAACAGCAGCTACGTGAACTGGTTTGATGGGTGCATGGTGGAAGCCAACATTGCTGCAAAAGAAAGTGTGTGATTGAGGGAGAAATCTTTCAGCCACACAGAAGCGACATGAAGGCGAGAGCTCGGGACGCCTCCTTCCTCCTTTGCCTGGAGGAAGAATAAAGCAGTTAAACACAAAGGTCTCCAGAGACACTCTTGACCAAGGTCAGCACGCGACTGTAGCTGGGAAAAGGGTGCGCAATGGAAGATAAATAAATAAATCGCATGACAGAGAAGAAGTAGTGCCAAAACAACATTTCGCAGAAACATAAAGTTCAGTGGAATTTCAAAATTCAAAAGGTGAAAAATTGTGAAGGTGTTTTTTTTGGGGGGGTGTCCCCCCTTTTATTTTAAAGAGAGAACTCTTTGGGTCTTTCTAATAAATGTTCAAGGAATAACCTTAAACTAAATACTTAAAACTAGATACAATAATCTGCCAGTGTGAGGTTGTGTTTAGAGCACTGGTGATCTAGGGCCTGTTGCTATATTTCAGTCTAACCTACCAAGCAGGGTTGTAGAGGATAAAAGGGAAGGTTTGGACAAAGCTGGTGTTTTAGACAGAAAAGCAGAATAAAAATGCAATGAAATACTTAAATCAAATCCTTCTCAGTCACCCTGTTTTCCTCTGCAAACATCATTTATATTTAGCATCATACTTGACGGGGATCATCATAAACATTTTTATCAAGAAGCCTATAAATACTCCTTTGTTTGCAAGCAAATTCATAGGACAGGGGCTGCCCCTCAAGGCCTTGCTGGACTACAACTTGAATCATCCCGCTGACCAGTGGCCATGTTGGTTGGGGCTCATGGGAGTTGGAGTCCAACCACAACTGTTTTTTGTTTGTTTTGTTTTGTTTTTGGGTTTAGATCCCCTCCAAAGGCTATCGTAGTTTGGTTCACAGACATTCAGACGATCTTGTGGCAACACAGACAAGGAGCAAAGGCAAACACAGTGACTGCAAGAAGCAGTGTGTAGCACAAAAAACAGACTGGACAAAATTCCGGGAGCTGCAAGTGATTGCGTTATTTGGCTTCAGGAAGAAGAAGATAATTAGCTGTGGACACTGTGACATTGGCGTGAAGAACGATACGAGTGAGGAAGTCAAGAAAGCTGTTGATTAGGAAAAAGAGAAAACAATTAGCAGGACGCTGTCTGAACGACTTTCTGGAGCAGGGGTGGGGAACCTCAGGCCTGTGAGCAGAATGGGGCCCTCTACCCTCCTCAATCCGGCCGTCAGAACTTTCCCAGGGCCACACTCTCCCCAGGCCACAACCTTTGCCAGTCACGCTCCACCCTCTCTTCAAGTCTTTTCAACTAGCTGGAAGAGGTCCTTGAAATGTAATACAATGCCTCTTGCTTGTTTGGTCTGAGAATGGAGACTTATAAAAAAAAAGGTTCCCCACTCCTGTTCTGGAGAATGCGAAAGCAACACATGTCTGGACGGCACACAGATTCAGTTTGGTGGCAACACGGACGAGGCATGTGATTGTATGATTACAGGCAAGAAGGAGATAGCGAACCACCCTGGGAGACGGACGTCCTACCCATCCTGGTACCTGTGGCAGTTATAAAGGAGTATGACTTAGAGGAACGTCCTTTCAGCACCCCGTGGATTTCCACATGGTAGGTTGTGCCAGGATCCAATCCGGTGATAACTGCTCTGGAGGAATCTCCAGGCACCACTAGCTCCCCTACTTCTCCAGTCCCCGTATTGCGGTAGAGGATGACCACGTTGTCAGAGACCCCTCTCACGCTGTCCAGAGAAACCTCAATACTGCCCGAGGAGCTGCCTACTACCGCCGGCTTGGGATGGTCTGAGTGGGAGTAGCTGCCTCTCGCAGTTGGGGATTCTGTTTTCTGAAGCAGATCGTCAGTCTCTCTATCAAGCCGGTCCTTGAAACTCTCTATGACCTCCTCTGGCTTCCGGAGAATTAGATAGATGTATATGTCCCTGGCCACACTCTGTATGGTCCGGTTGCCATGGAGAGGGAAGTTTATGGCGCGGAGGTAGCTCTCCAAACGCTCGAGCAGGGTCCCGTTGTACGGGGAGAGCTTGGTCGAGATGTTCTCGGTCATTTTCTTCATGAAAAGCTCCTTAGCTTTGGCAACGTTGGAAGGGCTACGGCCTGGCTGCGGCCTGTTGCCCGGCTGACCAGCTTCAGGCCCAGAGGAGGAAGAGTCAGGCCTTCGGTGGGAAGAAGAGGGGGGTGGTGTGGAGTACTGGCGGACTGGCTGGCTCGGAGCTGGTGCTGGTGGGATCAAAAATTGAGGCAGTTACAGCAAAGGAGGGGATGAAAGTGAGCTGTGGAGATGGGATGCATGGGAAGTGGTAAATCAATTGCAGAGGTAGACCCCCAATTGGTAAGAAAATCCCTGGTTTCCCACCCATCCACCACTTCTGAAACAGCCTGCAATGGAGTTGGCACCCCACAGAAGAGACATGTGCGCTGCTGACCCCTTCTTGGGAACCTTCCTTCAAGCTCTCACATCAGCTGCAATAAAAGCGAGGCAGTTAGTTTGAGCTCTCCTCAGAAATCACCCTTGTAGCCCTTTCTGTCTGTTGGATCTCCAGAGACCTGTGAGCTGTCAAGAGAAGGGAAGAACAAGGGGGTGTGGGAGAGAAAGGGACGCCATCTTCTGACCACTGCAGCTGTCAAAAGGAAATAATGAGATGGTAATAATACTTGAATAGAAAAGACGTGGGGAAAAGATTATGGTGAAAGATGAGAGGCACCGAATGTGGGCAGTTTCATATTCATCTTGCAGTTACCCTTTGGTACGCCGTTTCCTACTGGCATGCTGTCTCCAGGACACCCTCCACACCCCAATTCCCCTTAAAGAGTCTACCTTCTCACTGCCGTCATTGCTCGCTGTAGCTGTCCTCCTTGCTCACTGTTCTTGCCACCTGCCTGCCTGTGAGGTTAAGACCCAACGAGCAAGCAGGCAGTGGCAGCCTTTGCCCCCGAGGGATGGCTGTTGGGACTGGTGCCCTTTGGGTCTAGTGGGACGGAAGGCAGGGAAGCCCAACAGTAGGCGGAGCCATAGCCAATGACAGGCAAGAGCCAGAGCCAATGGAAGGTGGAGCCAACTAGTCCTAGCTTTGCCTCCATCCTCCTTCTTGCTGAGCTGAGTTTTTCAAGGGGCATTGCTGGGCTTAAAGGAGAAGGAAGGTGACAGCCAGGGATTACCTCCTGGACTGGTTTTAAGAAAGAAGGTGGGCAGTTGGGCACTGGCTGAGGGCAGAATGAGTTTGGTGGGGTGGTGCCTCAGTTGTCTTCCACTGCTGAGCCTCCTTTTCACCACCATTGTTGTCTAGGCTGGAGACAGATGGACATGCAGGCCTTGTCCATGTGGTGTTCTCCTCCTACTGCTGCTATCCCACACTTTCTCCCCCCTAAAGTCAGAGATTCCTCATGCTTTGAAAATCCAAATAGGAGAGCTGCATTGATTGCATAGGGAATCTCCAAATTTAGGGAGGAGAAAATGGGGGACAGCAGAAGTTGGAGGAGAACGATGTGGGGGATTCAAAGGAGACACAAGAGGTTCACAATCCACATTAAGCTAAGGTATGAGCTAGTCCTAGCAAGGAGTTAGGAAGTAACAATGGAGAATCGCTGGGCCAAACATACATTTGTTGAGTTTTGTTATGACCATTTCTTCCATTTCACCATGAGGTTTTAGTCCTTTATCAAAACTGGGAGAATTGTAGATTTTGAAAGATAGCTGAGTTTCATTTCATGCACTTATTTCAGAAAGCTGAGAATGTCAGCTTCACATTTTAATGCAAACCTGCCTCCTTTGCTCATCCTGAACCATCCTTCTTCCTTAATCTCTTGCCACGTGGCATAACCTGTGGCCCCATAAGCTCACCTGCTAGCCTCACATGTGGATTGATTTGCATGTTGGGGAAGCAGATGGCATGGACTATGAAACCCAGTCCTGTTTTTCTATCAGTTTTGTGCTAGAGGTATCAAGCACTTAGTGGGGGCATCCCATTAGGTTGCAGAACTGAAAAGAGGAGTGGGAGTAGGAGTGGGTCAATCGGAAGAGCGCTCTGCTTCCCTTTGCCTTTGCTGCGTTCTGGATCGCAAACTGTTTCGGGAAGTGTGGATTAGGTAGGTCTGCCTTTTGGTACAAATTGAATCCCTCCCGCATCCCCAGCTGAGACAAGGGGCAACCCCTAGCTCCCAGCCGCCACTCCCGGGGCCCTACCAGTTGTGCTGACGATGATGCTGGTGGCTCGGCTGTTCTCGCCACTCTGGCGGGCGAACATGGTGATGCGGTATCGGGTGCTGCTCTCCAGCTCGTCCAGGGTGACGCTTTCAGGTGCTGCAGGCAGTTCCACACGCTTCACGGCCTGGGCGGGCCGAGAGGCAACCAGAGGCACGTAGCTCAGGATGTAGCCGTCAGGGCGAGAGGCTGGCGGTTCCCACTCCAAGGTCATGGAGTTTTCTGTCACCTGCGACGACTGCAGGCCACGCGGAGGAGCTACTCCTGGAAGGGGGGAGAGATGTACATAGCACACAAGGCACTGAAATGAGACAGGAGGACACTTAGAGGCAGCAGGAACTTGTACAGAATGAAAGTAGCAGGGAGGGAGCGGAGGCAGAGCGCTTTAAAACTGAGGCCAAAACCTTGATTTGTTGGCACAGGGTGTAACAGAAAGTACAGGTGTTTAGTTCTATTTCAATCTTAAAAATGGACAGCATAATGCTGGTGGTCAACAGAAGAGGTTTAAAGACTGTCTCAAGGCAAATCTAAAAAAAATGCAGTATAAACACCAACAATTGAGAAACACTGGCCTGTGAGCGCTCCAATTGGAGAACAGCCTTTACCAAAGGTGTCATGGACTTTGAAGATGCTCAAACTTAGGATGAAAGGGGGAAACGTGCTAAGAGGAAGACATATTTGGCAAACCCTCACCATGATCAACTCCTACCCGGAAACCAATGTCCCCACTGTGGAAGGAAGTGTGGATCCAGAATTGACCTCCACAGTCACTAACGGTCTCACTGTTAAAACCGTGTTGATGGAAGACAATCTTGCTCGGCTACGAGTGATCGCCAAAGAAGAAGTGCAGTTAAGCATATGATATGCAGGGGAAGGTGGTATTAGGAACATAAGAAAAGCTGCATCAGGCCAGGGGTCCATCATGCTCTGGCATCATGTTCTCGTGGTGCCAAAAGGAATCCTGAAAGCAGGACCAGCACTTCTCTCGACACTGGAGATTCGGAGGCATGTTGGCTGTGACAGTGGAGGCAGGACATAGCCATTGCGGTTAGCACCACAGAGGCCATTTTAGGATAGCGCGACCAGTTTGGCTGCACTGGGCGCCACGCTGCAGGGGGCGCCACAACAATGCCGCAGAATGGAGCATGAGAGGCAGCAGGGGCGAATTTGGGCACCACACAGGGCACCGCTGAAATGTGACAGCCCAAAGTCCGCCACCGGTAGCCACTCGGAGCCTTTACCCTCCATGAATTAGACTGCATTCGCACACCAGTGCATCCTGTTTCCAAACGTTCCACTATCTGCTAATTTCTGCGTTGTATCTTAGCTTTCACGCAATGAAAAGGCCACTTCTGGAAGTGTAGCAGAATATTGTGGGTGATCTTGGGTGTCCCTGCCTCTCTGCCTATGGATAAAAGGGGAAGAGAGAGAACTGGTATGCCGCCTGGAGCTCCTTGGACGAAAGGCGGGTTATAAGGTGGTGCAGTGCATTTGGTCAGTGCCTCTGGCTGTTAACCAGAAGGTTGCTGGTTTGAGCCCACCCTGGGAAGAAGGCTGTGGGCAAAAAGCTTCCTGCGTTGCAGGGAGTTGGGCTAGGTGACCCACAAGATCCCTCCCAACTACAATTCTATGATTCTCGTCATCACTGCCCCACAGAGAGTAATTTAGACTAGAGATAGGCACTCCTAAAGCTGAACTGGGAACAGGCTGCAAGGGCGAAGACGGGCAAAAGAGAGAATAATAATAATAATTTATTTATACCCCACTCAGCTGGCTGAGTTTCCCCAGCCACTCTGGGCGGCTCCCAATTGAGTGTTAAAAAGAGAAACACACTGCTCCAGGCTACATACGTGTACGCACGGTCTGGGTGACGGGGGGTCCGTAGCGTTGCCCCTTTTCTGCCCGGACAGTGACAGTGTATTCCTCTCCCGGCATCAGCCCTCTGCGTTCGAAGCCTGTCTCCGTGCCAGACAGACGTACTGATTCACCTGCCTGCTGATCTCGCTGCAAATCAGAGGAGAACGGCGCTGAGTAACTTTTTGGCACCAGAAGGAAACACCCAATAACGCACCGTCCGGCAGTGCCCGGTTGTGTTTATACACACACACAGATTAAAGCTTTCCAAGTCGGCTGCCACTGCCACATCTAGCAGTAGCGAATGTCATATTTCAACCACACACAGCGTGAGGAAGTCCTTTCTGTCGTTCCTGAATCTCTCACAACCTGGGCTCACTGGATGGCGTTCTAGTGTTGAGAGAAACCTCAACACCAGCCCAAGATATTATGCTGCTTGAGACAAAATGGTGCGCCCCTAGCCCACTTACAGAAACCATCCGGAGGAGCAACTGGATCTTACTTCAGCACGAATCATAGGGCAGCACCCTCCACCACAACTGAGGGCAGCAAGCTAGCTGAGTTGTCACAGTGCGAGCTGCATAGCGCAACCAGCTCTGCCCTCCAACATCTCACTGGCGCCCCCCTCAGCATCTGCCTCATGAAGTGGCCGCCTCACTCTAGCTAACATTAGGGCCAGCCCGGATATACCTCTATTCCCCCTCCCCCCATACACCATTCACAATTTTCCTAGCCAAATGAAAGAAGCCCCCTGCTCAAAGACCCACCCTTACAATCTCCTGCCTTCCCTGCTTTCTGTGGAAGCACATTGTCCCAAAGAGTGGTTGCTTACTGTGGGCTTCACGTGAATTTCATACGCATCCACAGATACTTCCGGGCGGCTCCACTCCAAGCGGAAGGACGTCTCATCTCGATTTTTCACATGGATGCCAATGGATGGAATCTCTGTTCAGGTCAAGAGCAAGAGAAGAGTGGTGGGGTGGCAGAAAAGATTCGAAAACCAAATTTATCTCCAGCCTTCTTTTAACACTCACCCTCCCCAGCGTGTCCCCCAAAAGTGTATTGATCTGAACCTCATCAAGATAAAAGCCCTGATGCCTAGGGTGGCTAGAACTTGCATACCATTTGCATATGCAATTATACAGTATATGTTTAGATGCAAATTTAGGGGGAGGGAATAAAAAATGGAAATACAATATATCACACCACAGCAGGAAAGGCTGTGATCAGGTGGCCAGAGTGCCTGACTATGATAATTAAGATGATTTTATTCATGAATTACTTTCCTCTCAAGGTGATTTATGTACATATGATTAAAAAACATTGTTCTAAAAACAAAACAACAAAACCCTCAAGACAGATTTAAAAACCAATATAAAATTAATAATAATAATAATAATAATAATAATAATAATAATAATTTAAAAAAATTATTTATATCCCGCCCTCCCCAGCCGAAGCCGGGCTCAGGGCGGCTAACAACACTAAAACAGCGCAACACTATAATAATAATAATAATAATAATAATAATAATAATAATAATAATAATTGCTCGTGCTTCACCCCAATATCCCAGGGCGGGTCACAGCAATTTAAAATGAAACATTAAAAGCAGATTTTTTTGAAAAAATGAATGTAAATGTAATGATTTTTTTTAAAAAAATTATAATTATTAAAAAATCACAGTCACAAAAAATAGTGTGGATGAACACATAAATGAAATAAAAATGAGCACTAAATCAGAGACCTTTTCATACCGGATGTAAAAGCTTGTTCGGTATGCTGCCTACTATTGATGAACAAGATAACTATTCTCTTATGAAAAACAAAGGCTTCCTCTCACTTACACGGTTGGCAAGCACCAGGGTTTGACCTGAAGTGCCCGAGGAACTTGCAAAACAGCCTGAGGGCAAGAGAAGCTAACCCAACACCCTGAGCCACTGGGCCACAGTGATTTCGTCTTGAGGTGTTTCCTACCTACCTATGGAACAGTCTTCTCCTGAATAACCATCATGACAGAGGCACACTCCATTCTGGCACTCCCCGCGGCCGCTGCAGTCCTCCGGACATGCCAGTTGCCCACAGTCCGGCCCGGTATACCCCTTGTGGCAGGCGCACACAGCTCCTTTCAGGCAGCGGCCTCTCTGGTTGCAGTCGTTGGGGCAGGCCTTGGTTCCACAGGCTGGGCCCGTGAAGCCAGGCTCACAGACGCACCGCCCGTTGTGGCACTCTCCCCGCCGGTTGCAGTTGCTGGGGCAGGCTCGGCTCCCGCAGTCGGGCCCAGAGTAACCAGGGTCGCATACGCACTGCCCATCCACACATCGGCCACGACCTTGGCAGTCCTGCGGGCAGGCCGGGTCGGCACAGGAAGGTCCAGAGTAGCCAGGGAAGCAGGTGCAGCGCCCGTCCACACAGCGCCCTTGGTCGTTGCAGTCGTCTGGGCAGGAAGGCGGCTCCTCGCAGCGGGCACCGGAGTAGCCAGGGCGGCACTGGCAGCGCCCGTTCATGCACTTGCCACGCTGGGGGCCGCCACAGCCACCTGGGCAGGTTGGCTCGGCACAGGTGGGGCCACTCCAGCCTGCCTCGCATTCGCACAGGCAGCGGGGAGAGGTCGAAGGAACCATGGTTCGAGCACAAGGTGCGGGTGTCCTGTCTGGGCCTAGGTGAGGGGCAAGAGAAAGTAGGGAAGGGAAGAAGGGGGTCAGGGATTGAGAAGCCAGGCCACACCTAAACGTGGGTTTATTTATTTTGCAGCATATAGTCCATACCTTGGTTCGCGAATGGAATCCGTTCGCAGAAGTTGTTTTGACTTCGCGAAAATGTTTGAAACCAAGGTGTGGCTTCCGATTGGCTGCAGGAGCTTGCTGCACTGCAATCAGAAAGCCGTCGTCGGACGTTCGGTTCAAAAGAAACATTCGCAAACCCGTAACACTTCCCAGGTTTGTGGCGTTCAGTGAGCCAAAATGTTTGAGTCACAAGGCGTTCGAGAACCAAGGTACGACTGGGTATTGGCCTATTATCACGCCTGTTCAGGAGCGAGCCAGCAGTAAACTACACTGGTAGCAAGTTTGGAGTTAACTCTTTATTAGCAAAAACATGAATAGAAGCATGCAGGGTCAGGCACAACAGCTATCTCCAGTAGGGCCTTGCCCTTATGAAGCAGTTGCTTAGACTGAAGGTTCCTGCCTCCCTGCCCAAGTCCCTCTCCTCTCCAGGGTTTGGATTCGCAAGCATCAGAGACTGTGCTTGTTGTGAAGCCAACCTCTCCTCTGCCCTTTTCATGCCTCTTCTGGTTCTGGAAGACCAGAGGGGAGGAGAGCTGGTCACAGCAGGAGTGGGAGACACCTATGACTCTTTACCAGCCTGACTCATCTATGTCTCTTGACTTCCCTCCTGCTTCAACTTCTGCCTCTCATTCTGGACATTGCCACAGAGTCTCCCAGCTCACCAAACCCTGCTACATCTTCAGCTTCTGACACCTCCTCCTCCCAGTCTTCTCCCTCTGACCACCCATCAGTGTCCCACCACCACTCCCCAGGCTCTGAGTCTTCTTCCCTTGGAAGAAACTGTAGTGGCATACAGGGTTCTCTCCCACCCGCATTTCATCCCCACACGAACCCAGTGAGGTAGGTTTCCTTGTGCCTCAGGGGGGTCACTTCAGTGCTGCATGCCCTCTCCAAGGCCTTACCTGTACTAGCCTGGGAACTGCTGGTCGCAGGGCAGCAGCCTCCCCCAGCCTGGCAGGTGTCCCGCAGTGACCGCACTTCGTTCTCTAGTGCCTGCAGCCGTCTCAAGAGGTCCTGGGTGTCCTCGGTGCCAGGTGGGCACCCACAGGACTGCTGGGGCAGGTTGATGCGGTGAGTGAAGACCACATGCTCCTGGTCTGGCCCTTCCAGTGTGTGCTCGTACAGGCCCCCTCCCCTGGAGGAGCCAGGAGGGCCCAGCGCCTCTTGGGGTGCAGAGGAGGCTCCCTCATCCTCGGTGCCATCTCCCTTCAGCTTTATCGTGTAGATATGAGAGAAAACGGTAGCGTTGGAGGGGATGACCCGGTGGGGCACATGCGCCTCCCAAGAGGTCCCCAGCCAGAAGAGGAACAGAAGGAAGGGTTGTCTCCCCATGCTCTGGACCTGTGAGGGAAATGGCAACAAAAAAAGATGGATGGATGAGGGCCGACAAAATGGACCTGAAGGTGCATTCAATTGTGTGGAATATTGTATCTGTTTTCCTGATTACGATGGAAGTACTTCTGTCCTATTTTCTAATATTCCTTTCACACTTCAGAGAGCTAGCCAGCAATAAATCACAGAGGGTATGTGATGCTAACTCTTTGTTAAGAGAAACAAGGCCTGCTCACGGTTGCCTGGCCTAATGAGCACAGCAATTCTTCTCAGTAGTTTTTGTCCCTATGAGGCAGTTGTGGAGGCTGAAGATCTCCTCCTTCCCACAGTTCCATAAGTCTGTTCCTCCCAGGTCTATACCAAGCAATCTGAGACCACGCCAGCACACCTGTCTCTGCTCCTCCCTCTTCATATCTCTTCTGGTCCTGGGAGACCAGGGGGGAGGGGAGCTGGTCACAGCAGGAGGGGGAGACCCCCTGGCTTCTTCACTAGCCTGACTCATCTCTGCCTCTTGGCCTCCCTCCTCTCTTGCTTCTGCCTCTGCTTCCAGACTTCTCTCTGTCACAGACTCTTCCTGCTCACTAAGTCTTGTTGCCTCTTCAGTTTCCAATACCTCCTTCCAGTCTTCTCCCTTTGACGATTCATCATTGTCCCACCGCCACTCCCCAGGCTCCAAGCCTTCTTCCCTTGGAGGTTCCCCAGCTGGTTCCTCCCACCATTGCCCTGTGTCCAGCCATTCCGTGACACACTCTAGGACCTGTCATGTTATGCAACTGTGGCTCTTCAACCAATATGCCAGCATAGAATCACAGAAGGTGACCCAGAAACTACAACTAATCCAGAATGCAGCAGCTAGACTGGTGACTGGGAGTGGTCGCCGAGACCATATAACACTGATCCTGAAAGACCTACATTGGCTCCCAGTATGTTTACGGGCACAATTCAAAGTGTTGGTGCTGACCTTTAAAGCCCTAAATGGCCTTGGCCCAATATACCTGAAGGAGCGTCTCCACCCCCATCGTTCAGCCTGGACACTGAGGTCCAGCTCTGAGGGCCTTCTAGCAGTTCCCTCACTGCAAGAAGTGAGGTTACCGGGAAGCAGGCAGAGGGCTTTCTCGGTAGTGGCACCCACCCTGTGGAACGCCCTTCCATCAGATGTCAAGGAAATAAACAACTATCTGACTTTTAGAAGACATCTGAAGGCAACCCTGTATAGGGAAGTTTTTAAAATTTGATGTTTTATTGTATTTTTAATATTCTGTTGGGAGCCGCCCAAAAATAATAATAATAAAAAATTTATTATAAAGAACCGTATGCCCTCCAAAGTCTGTCATCCTGTCACTGTCATGGCCACTGGTTTAGAGCTGGTGGGAATTTTAGAACAGCGTACCTTTGTGCAGGACCGAAGGTATTCTTAATCCCTGTTCTGCATTATTTGGACAGTTCTGCATTTAGCTGCATGCAATGGCCACTCCCATGTCTACTCTGGCGAGAGGTGTCTGATAAAGTCAACTGCTCCCTACAAAGATTGATGCCATAATTTTTTTCTACCTCCATTTTTTCTGGGAATAGCAGATAGGCAGAGAGCTGTTGGCTTATGTCCATCTTGTGTCTGGTTGGCCATAGTGAGAACAGGATGCTGTACTAGATTTAGGGGTGCCAACTTTAATAAAACATTTGGGGGCCCAGGTAAGGCCTCCCCCCGCATGGGCACACCCATACCATTTGAATGGCAATGCCCATCAACTTTGGGGGGGCCCTAATTTTATTGGAGGGCCCAAGGGGACCTTGGTCCCTAGAAGTTGGCTCCTATGACTACATGGACTGAGAGAGATTGGCTTGCTTAATTCAACCGGGTCCGTTTATGATTGAGGCGAAATTTGAACCATGGACCTCCTGATTCACTGCTCAACTTCTTGGCTGCCCGCTACACCGCATCAGCTTTCATGTAATAGCCAAGAGGGGGGTTGGTGCTTTTGGCCAAAGCTACGTTAGGAAAACATAATTGTCCGACAATAGGTTACCCACAGTTCAAAATACGTGTTTGTTTAAGGTTTGTTCTTTATTGGCTAGTCTTCAGCCAAAGCTCTCAGGGTGGCTTAGGAAGATTAAAAACAAAATTAAGTCAGCAAACAGCAGAGTTGATAGAAGCTCCAACCTTGAAACATTCAGCATAAAATGTTCCTTGGTAGCCACAGTGTGTGAAAGGGAAATGGGTGCGCAATGAATGACGCATGACTGCTTAGTAGGGGAAAGGATGGAGCTCAGTGGTAGGGCATCCGATCTGCATACAGAAGGTCCCATCTGTAGGCAGGGCTGGGTTTCCGCCTGAAACCCTGGAGACTCACTGCCAGTCAGTGTAGACAATACTGAGCTAGATGGACCAGTGGCTCTGACTCAGTATAAGGCAGTTTCCTGTGTTTCTGTGCCATAAAGCCACTCCCGACGATCTACGGAGGGGGGGGGTTGCGGGCGCACGCCCACACACACACTCTCGCGGGGCTGGCGCCAGCCCCGCGGGATTCTGGGACTCCATTATTATTCATGCCATGCAGCGCCAGCCAATGGCCTGAGCCAGGGGGCGGGGCCCACGCGGGGCCACTTAAGGTCGGGGCAGCCTGCAATCAATAAAGTTGTGGCCATTTTTCGCCCATTAACTTAAGCCATTGTGTACGGTGTCTTTATTTGCTCCATCTGTGGGAGGGGGCGGGTATCGCCACGCAACTCTCCCTCTCTGAGCACTTATCCAGACTTCTGCTTATCTCACTGCTTTCCCCAGGGGAAAACTACTCTTTAGTGCTCCGTCGGAGTAAATGGTGATGCAGGTTTTCTCCCTAGAGGCCTTTGCTCCAGTTTAGCACTAAAGAGCAGGTTTTCCCTGGGAAGGGAGAGGGGAAAGGGGAAAGCTGCTGGGATCCAAGTCTAGAAAGTGTGAAAACCTCCCATGCTTTCTAAAGGCACAGGACAAGCGGAAGTGAGGACAAGCCCTCAATTTCAATCACAGGGCAGCTACATCCAAGCCAGGTTCAAACCCACAGAGCGTTGAACGCACCATGTATTTAAGCTCTCATGCACCTGCTGTTTCTTGTAACCTGTCGCTCGCCTTATGTGCCAATCTGATTTATGCATCAAAGCCTTGGGCAGAACTGGAGTTGTGAGTTTGATGAGTTTTCATGGATGAATTGCTGGGGAAATGTGGAAAAATTGAGGGATTGGGGGAAACGGCATTTGACTGATTTGTTGTTGTTTAGTCATTTAGTCGTGTCCGACTCTTCGTGACCCCATGGATGCCAGGCACTCCTGTCTTCCACCGCCTCCCACAGTTTGGTCAGGCTCATGTTTGTAGCTTCGAGAACAATAGCTTCGAGTTTGTAGCTTTGACTGATTTATCCACCCCTAAATATAACCCCACTTAATTAAAAGGGGGGAGGAGATCCAGAAGACAAAATTAAAGTGTTGTTTTTTTTAAAGGGGAAAGTGATTAACCAGGAACAACCAGCCAGCCAACAGACGCTGTTCCTAGTAAATAAAAACAACTGTGAAGTTCAGGAAAATTCATGTCTGTTGACACGTGTTAAAACCTCTCTCTCTCTTACACACACACACACACACACACACACACACACACGGCTGTTCCTTGTTGCAACCTCGGTTAGAGAAACCCACTGAAAAGGGTGGTTTTCTCGCCTGCTCCTGCCGCAGCACAACCGCTGGATTAAAAAAAACAACAGCTAGGGAATTGTTAGGCACAATGCGGATATCTCCACTCGCATTGATGTGGACAGCAGGAATGCAAAACAGAGGCATGACAGGGATCCCATAGCGCTCGCCAAAGCCAGGCAGTTGGGAAGCAGGAACAGCAGTGCACGGCGGGGGGCAGTGGAAGGACAAGCCACGGAGTGCTCTGAAATGCAAGCAGAGACGTGGCCAGGAGTCAGATATGGTGGAGGAAGCTGGCAGGGTAGACGGGGAGAAACAGATTAGATAAGAGTGGGCCAGGACAGATGGAGGGAGCTCAATCTTATCCTTAAAGCTTCCTTGTGACAACAGTCTGCAGCGCAGCCGTGGATTGACCTTACTCCAGAGGTTGTGGGATTTCCTTACTTATAGCTGCCTGGGCCCCAAACTCCAGGATCCAACACTGTCAATGGTCTTGGTGGCTAGGACTGCCTATTTCCAGCTATGACTGTCTCACCACCGACGTCCCTTATTGCACAGAAATGAATTGGTCACTGTACTCCAGGTTCTGGGTAGCTACCAAATTGGATTAGTGCAATGCGCTCTATGTGGGTCCAAAATGCAGCAGCCAGATTACTGGGTGGGGCTCCATTCAGAATTTGCTGATTTAATGGTTGCCAGTTTTCCCCCAGGCCCAGTTCAAGGTGCTTACATTAATGTTTAAAGCCCTAAATGACTTAGGCCAGGCACCCCCAAACTCAGCCCTCCAGATGTTTTTGGGAGTACAACTCCCATAATCCCTAGCTACCAGGACCAGTGGTCAGAGATGATGGGAATTGTAGTCCCAAAACATCTGGAGGGCCAAGTTTGGGGATGCCTGACTTAGGCCCTCAATTCCTGAAAGACCAGCTTCTTCCCTGCAGACCCTCTCAGGTGTTAACATTGGCAGAGGAGGTGTCCCTCAGAATCTCAGGGGGTGGCAGCCCAGGAGAGGGAATTCTCTGTGGCAGCCCCTAAGTTCCCTTCCGACAGAAGTGTGTCTGGCACCTTCATTAGCGGAGGACTTGGGTACTCTGACGCCCTGTGCAAGGCCAACATTCCCAACCCCCAAAAGCAGGTAAGGAAGTGCCTGGCTTTGGAAAAGAGGCACAAGGCAAGTTCCCAGAGCAATACTACCTCCTTCCCAAAGCTGGGAAAGAGCTAAGCAAGCTTTGGGAAGGTGGCAGGAGGACTCTAGGACCCAGTACCTTGCGAGACGGCACCCCCCTGGGCTCAATGCTCAGTGCATGTGCACAGCGGCGTAGTGTGGGTTGTCAGCACCCGGGGCAAGG